GCTGTCAGAATGAAAATCATTTTAATGACAGTAAATACAAATCACGTAAATCTGCCTTGTTTGTGAGCACTTGAACCACAGCCCGAATCTATCACAGCGCCCTTCACAATAGGATCCCGCGCCTTAATCATCTAAGATAAACACAAATTAGTCTTGAACACAAATAGAGACTGCACCCTGAGTTCTTATTTTCCTTTATACTCCATCATGTCCAATTATATGGCATATATCAACGAAATACTAACTTCCCTGCATGGTGCAACCAGAACAACACAAAACGGAAATTTTGAAAAGACAATAATTTAATCAAATAATTTCCACAGTGATTTCCTCACACAGTTTGCAGTCATCCATTGTTTGTTGTTTAGTTCCACCTGCCTAACCAAAAATGAAAATTTCATGATAATGTTTAAATGTGCATTCTGGAAAGAAGGTTGCCAGGATTAAAACTGCTGATGAAAAAAATGGACTGTTGAAAATGACCAGAATTATGACGGAGAGACAACCCAGAGTGAGGTCACTCCGAGTCATTTTTAATGCAACCAGTAAGGAAAAGACAATTGAAAACAAAAACAAAAAAAAAAGGATGAGGAAAACTAAGAGTGGAGGAATAAAGAGAGAGAGAGAAACGATTTGGCTGCCCGTCTTATCAGTCCACACAGAAATGTCAGTACGCTCTGACATTCTCTCCTCCAGCTTCCCGCTGCTGCCCAGCCGCTACCACAAACACACACACACATACAGCAGGCTGGGGCACCACAAAAATGCAAACACATTGTGGAAGAGCACTGCATTCACAGACATTCACTCCACGGCTGAACATTCATATCGAAATTACAGACCAAAAAAAAAAAAAACCTAGCATTGCAATGATTTGATCCAGTGGATCAAAAGTGGTCGAGATATTTCTTGATATGCATGAACGTTGACCGAGAACAATGTCATAATCTGTGCGATCTATCAATGCAGTAATTGATCGGTTTCGCGAAAAAAGACATGACAACAAAGACAACATCGTTCAGTCCAAAGTTGTTTGGTGATACTGTAGTGAAGATGTGTGTCATGATTCTGTTCTGTTTAGTCCCCAGCAGGGGGCAGATGTGTTCCGGTCCTTCTTGCCACACACCTGTTTCTCATTTGAACACGCAACTATTTAAGGACGTCCCAGCCCACCACTGACTGTCAGATAATTCGCCTTGCCACACCATTGTTCAAGTGCAGTTTTCTAGATGTTCTTGATATTGCGCTGTATTCTCGTTCTCCATTTTTCTATAAGTAGTTTCCCTTGCCTTCTGCAAGTGCTTTTGGGTTCTCTCATTTTCTCCCACTGTGCCTACCAGCATCATTATTCATACTTTGTCGGCTTCACGGCATTTTTTTCCATAAAGTAAATATTTTCGGTATACCTTTATCTGAGTCACAGTTTGTAGAGTCCGATTCTGTTCCGGATCCTTCCGGAACCATTACAATGTGAGCCTGGAAGCTAATCTAGTTTTAGCCTCGTCTCGTGTCATGTTAGCGGAAAACCTTTGCGCTAGGAGGCAGAAGTTCCGCCTCCACTTCCTCAACTATCCAATCACAAAGTCATAGCTTTCGTGTATTTGTATTTTATTTTTTTGTTTTTATTTTATTTAGATATTTTCACTTTATGTAAAAAAAAAAAAAAAAAAAAAATCAAACAAGGTAAAGAATGCGTGCTATTTAAGAATTTGGGGGTGAAGGTTAAATAATATTTTATTCCAATGCATTTTCGCTATGGTAGCGGTCAACTGTAGAGTAAATACACAAATTGTTTAAACAAATATATTACTCCATCTTCTCATCGAATCGGTGATCAGGTATCATTTTTTTGCTGATTGACCCCAAAAACCCAGATTGCGTAAAGCCCACAAAAAAAAAAAAAAAACTCTTATACATACAGCAGTCACTTTTAATGGCTTTTTACAAGGTAGTACTGCTGAGGTTGAGTTGATTCATTAGGCTCATAAATCAAATTCATTTCCACCAAGCAGTTTGATTTGATTTATTGTGTTTTTATTACAAAAGCTCCCAAAATATCCACTTTTGAGAAACCCTTATTTTTGGTGCTAGCCACAGGAGTACGTTTGTGGCCAGTGGAACACACTTCTGTACATTGATTGGTCGAACTGTCCGTCTTCTTTCAAATTACAATGGAATCAGTTGAATAGCAATAAAACTTTGCTGTTCATAAAATTATTAGTAATGCCATTTCAAAAATACAAAGGAGTTTCTTGGCAACATTCACGGTTATTTCATTTTCTTTTGAACGTGATTTGTAATATTACACTTTGTCGAGCTGATATGTTAGTTGATCGAAAAAATTACCATGGTGATTTACACAATTGGGTGAAAATATGACTTGTGTGGGCACGGCAAATGTCAGTCTTATCTATTCTACCTATTTATTAATTTATTGTTTTTAATAAAGACACCACTGAGGCAAAGGTAGACAGCATACTTTATTGTCAGAAAATCAGCAGAACAGAGTTGAAGGTGAGCACCGAAAGCCTACGAGGTCAATCAACTGATTTGGGCTCATTTTGTCATCAGTGCCATGCGGTGCACACACGGCAGCTGAAATATGAATGGTACTCAGAAAATTCGATTTTAAGAATGCATTCTTTGTGGCTGTAGCTTCCAAAAGGGATTGATTTTGTTCATGCAATCATCGGAGATGGAATTATTTCACAATACCACTTCATGTATCAATTATTTTACATTGACAGGTGGACATTCACATACCAGCCAGATGCCTTAACTGACTTGTTTTAAAGCTGACATGATGTACGTGTGAAGGCTGCAGTAAAACCTTTCTGAAATAGTCTATGGTACATTCAGACTACATTTAGGGCATGCCTGTCACCCCGACCCCCCCCCCCACCTCCAAAAAAAAATGTAAATTGAAAAAAAGGAATCGTAGTGACAACCCCTCATAGAGCCATAAAAGAAACTACACTGACGAAATGACAAAGGTATCGAAGAGATACGGAGATTTAAAGTATGAGGCCAAAGGTGAATACAATATTTACACAAGCATTGTTTGTATGGTGATGGAAATTGAAGGGCAGAGGGAGGGCCGAGATTATACTCGACGCGAAACAATTTGTTTTTCTACTTTTCTTTGGCAAATCTTGAGTTATCTTAAAACTCTATGCTCACTTGAATTTTTTAACCAAACATATGTACGGGAGGACTTACACTGTCAATATACAGCAAACCTTTGGTATAAATCTTATCCTATAGGGCAGGGGCCCCCAACCTTTTTTGCCCCACGGACCGGTTTATGTCAGACAATATTTTCAGGGACCGGCATTTAAGGTGTGGCGGAAATAATACAACAAAATAATATGGTATGAGCTGCATGAAAACTGTGGCGTTTTCGAAATATAATAATAAACACAAGGAACGTCTAATCTGGCCGCAACACTCCGATCGCTATGGCAATGTTTAATGCCTTCAAAATACGATACAACGCAAATTCAAAGTGCATGAAAATGACGGACGACTCACCACAACACCGAGCTTGATTTTCTGCAACCAGACGGTCCCATCTCGGGGTAATAGGAGACAATGACACCTCAAGTGTGTGTTTCATGTCCAGTCTACTTCGTAATTTTGTTTTAGTCTACTTAGTAATTTTAGTTGCTGCAGAAAACCCCCTCCTCACACAGGTAGGATGTCGGAAATAGCAACAGTGCTATTGTGGCCATATCAGAGTATTCAGCCATAACTTTAATCCAGTTGTCTCGAACGTACTTTTAAGGCCGCCGTCATTTGCGATCTCCAGCAGTTTTTTTTTTTTTTACTCATTTTGCGAGCTCCCGCGTTTTGTTTTGAAGCAATCGGTCACGTGAAGGAGAAGCGTGGCTTGACGTGTGTCAAGCGTAACACAGACGGATGTAACGGAGAATCCGGTGGTTTTTCAAAATAAAACATCTTTCGTATTCCGAAATTAATAAAACGGAATTAAGGCAAGTTCTTTCTGTGCGGCCCGGTACCAAATGCCCGGCGGACCGGTACCGGTCCGCGGACCGGCGGTTGGGGACCCCTGCTATAGGGTACCCTGGCTGTACGATGTCAAAGTCACAACAAGTGCACTGGCCGTGCAGAATTGAAATTGCACATCCGCTATAGTAGATGGCAGTGGCGGTCTCATTGTCAGAGTGTGCACAGGGAGTATAAACACTGTTAAGAAAGTTATTCTGCAGATTTTGATTTCTCTTTTTGTATTTTCTTTATAATAAGGACATATTTAATAAGTTAATAAGGATGCAATGTTATGCAGAGGTGTACGATTGGACAAATGATACTATTTATAGTCACAGCAGAGAGTTGGGGAGAGCATGAAATATTCTCTTCTTTCTAGGGGGCCATAACAGAAAATAATTGAGAAGCACTGGCTCAACTGTAAAAAGAAATTACCAGTGTGCCTATTTTAGTATGATTAAAACATTTACATAACTAGTCAATAGACCTGATATATCCTGTTTTCACATATATAGTACAGATCACACATGTACTGTCTGTACACACTGTTTGAAGGTTTGAAGGATAAAACTACAGACTAAATATGATAACTTGAATCAACTTGAAGTCTTAAGAATATTTTCTGCAGTTTCAAACTTGCAGTCTCCAAGCGGGACCACGGACGCTTTTATCAATCCTACCAGCCTACTACCAATGCAGTAGTATGCCCTAAGACTTCTAAACAAACTTTGATGGTGTTCCCCTTTAAGACAAGATGTAGGCCGTGAGACTCATGAGTCTTTCAACATGTCTGTCTTGAGAGGCAATTGCATCACACGTCGGGTCTCTTGCGGGGCATGTTTGTCTCTGTGTTTTATTATTCAGCTGCACGAATGGGATTTCAACACCATCCGCGCAGAATCCACTAACAGTTGCTACTGAAGCAAGAAGTCATCACGGCTGAAAATCATTTCATGAGGTTTATAACTAAGGTAAAAGACCGTGTCACCTACCTGTAGGCGATCCCTCGAGCACCTCTCCGGTGTAGCGCGTCTCTTTGAATATGGGCCGGTTGTCATTCTGATCGATGACAGAAATGACAAGTATGACTGGTCCATCGACGAGGTTTCCGTTTAGGTCTGTGGTTGACACCTCCAGCTGTGGAAAAGAAAAATGACACTTTAGCCACTAGTTCAATAAAATATTATTAAAAGTCAGCCGTCTCCTGTTAAAATTAGCAGATGACTTTTTCCTACCGACAATGAATGCTTCAAACAATTATAGTGCTGTATTGAGCTCTACTCATTAGGTTTGGACCTGGCAGCATTAGGCAAGATAAGAGGCTCTTTTTGGGATTGGTTTTAATTATGATGATGATAATTTATAATTGTGTAGGCCAGTTACTGCAGGAAATAAATCTGCTGCTGACAAACTGACAGGCAGCGAGTTTGGCTGCTGTGAGGAGCTTGCTGTCAACAAATTTCTTGCTTCGACTAGACCGTTAAAATTTCATCATTGGTTTGATGATTTCACCCTCTCTCTCTTGATGACGGTGTTATTCATTGCACGGATCAGGTAAACAACCTTGGTGCACTCTTTAATCACACTTTTTCATTTGATTTGCCTGTAGAGGAGGTAAGGTGTGGTAGTTTTTCAGCTCCTAAAAATTGCAAAGATAGGATCAGGCAAGTGAAAGATGTTGAGATTCTAATCATTGCTTTTGTAACATCAAATCTGGATTATCGCAATGTTTTGTTATCAGGTTTTCCCCCCAAAAGCTTTTGAGGTCTCGGTATTTTGTCACACGCATGCACACACACACACACACACACACAC